ATATTAGGCGCGCGCGCGCGCGCGTGTGTGTGTGTGAAAGCAAATTCAAGGTTACAATCAAACATGAAATACTTTCACGATGAATATTTATTTTATAATATAAAATTTAAAAAATATACTATATTATTATAAAAACTTTCTCTTTAATTCGTTATTAAAGTTAATGTTGAAAAGTCATAAAATTAATATTACATGTATTTGCTTTTTTCATAGACAGATGGCCATCTTTAACTTTCTTTACTGTTGTCGCATACGTTTCTACATTTACAGATCTTGTGTTTATCTTCTTTTTGTAAGATCTTTCTGAAAGATACTATTCCACTTTTATAACTAGACTACTGACTGATAAAAAGAGATGAACCTAATTCCGAGCTGTCCTTGTTTCAATTTACGTATGTATGCGTCCTATCTGTAAATATCGCATAAATTTATGTGAAAACACTAACGTTATTATCCATGATTTATACATATGAGAGTGAATGAACATAAATATAGTTCTGCCCAGCGTTGTCTTCAAACATGGAGATGAAGTCGGAAATCTATTTATAGAAGTTTGTGCATCATTCTGTAGAAGAAAAAAATTGTTTTTAATGGGATATTACATTGTAACAACCTGCCCCGATCGAAATGGAATGACTTACCCTAACCTTTCATTTTCAATTCAACAAAATATAGATCGACAACCAGTGCATATATCGTTTCAAATAAAATGTGTTATTATAATCAAATGTAAAAACAATATACAAAAGGATAATCACATATCTGTAATTTATATGTATTAGGTGTACAACTTTGCTTCCGCCGTTTTTTTCCGAAATTCGAGGCTTTATTGTAAAAAACTGGTTATGATTCAAAGTATTGTCCAGCGCTGGCCATTACTTTCTCCCATCTTTCGGGTAGCGTACGAATCCCGCGTCGAAAAAACTGGTCATCTTTTGAAGCTATCCACGAATCGATCCAATTTTTTACTTCTTCATAAGACCGGAAGTGCTGGTTAGCCAGGCCGTGTGCCATTGATCAAAACAAGTCAGATGGAGCAACGTCTGGAGAATACGGCGGGTGGGGTAGGACTTCCCATTTCAACGTTTCCAAGTATATCTTGACCACTTTCGCAACATGGGGTCGAGCATTGTCATGCTGCAAAATCACTTTATCGTGTCTCTCGTTGTATTGCGGCCGTTTGTTTTTAAAACACATCAATTGCGTTCGATACCGATCGCCTGTGTTTGTTTCAGTCGGTTTTAACAGTTCGTAATACACTATGCTGGTCTCACCAAATACAGAGCATGATCTTGGACGTCAAAATCACCGTTCTTGAAGCGTTGAAACCACTCACGACACGTTCTTTCACTTGTAGCGGCCTCACCATAAGTATTTGAGAGCATTCGATGAGCCTCAGCCGCAAATTTCTTCATATTGAAGCAAAAAATTAAAACCTCCCGCAAATGACGAGAATTTGGCTCGTAAACTGACATTTTCAATCGAGAATAACTTTATGATGCAGACACAAATCGACTAATGTTTCTATGGGGTTATGTTGACAGATGTCCAAGTTTATTGTATGACGTCTATGATCTATTTATTTCGACCATCACTTACCGCTAAAGCCATCTATAGGAAAACGGCGGAAGCAAAGTTGTAAACTTAATACAATAACATAAGCGATTTATATAATGAAATATTTATTTTTAATAATGAAAATCAAGATAATATACGTAGCGTTTTCTAGAGTTCAAACATAAAAGTGGCTAAACTAAGTGAAGGTGTAGAATATCATAAGCATTACATGAAAATTCATAAAATTGTGCTGCTACCTGTGGCAACTAAAAAAACTGTAACAACTTACTCTCCGTGTAACATCTTGCCCCAGTCTCCCCTATATAACAAGAAAGATATGCTTGATTATATCGTAAAAATTTATTATTAATATGTTGCTATTGAAATATCTAATTTTCGAATACATTACTTGTGTTAAAAATATAAGTAACAATAAAAATCTCTAAGTATGCAGGCGATACGAGAGTATCAGAAAAAAATGTGTTGCTCGCTTAAAATTGATATTAGGTACTTATTTGAATTTGGGGTTCTCGATATATCTATCCATGGTTCGAATTCGATTCGCTAATTGTGATAATATAATAAGTGTAGATAATGTAATAAGTATAAATAACGAAGAACTTCTTACTTACAGTTTTCAAAATATCCACAGATAATGTCTCAGTAAATAGAGCAACAAATTATCTTTGCATATGGACCTCTGAGGTTGAAAAAGAAGTGATTCAGAAGGAAAACCATCCTGTGTACTCTGAAGCCTATTGGTTTCAAAATGCTATTCCAATCACTAGAATTCATCCAAGATAAGACTTAAATACCTTATTTTTTCCTTTTTATTTTTTATCATATAATTTTGTGTACAGAAGTATGTAGGTACTGTCACATTAAAATAAATATTTTTATATTAGATGTACAATTTTGCTTCCGCCGTTTTTCTATAGATGGCTTTAGCAGTAAGTGGTGGTCGAAATAAATAGATCATAGACGTCATACAATAAACTTGGGCATCTGTCAACATAACCCCATAGAAACATTAGTCGATTTGTGTCTGCATCATAAAGTTATTCTCGATTGAAAATGTCAGTTTACGAGCCAAATTCTCGTCATTTGCGGGAGGTTTTAATTTTTTGCTTCAATATGAAGAATCTGCGGCTGAGGCTCATCGAATGCTCTCAAATACTTATGGTGAGGCCGCTATTAGTGAAAGAACGTGTCGTGAGTGGTTTTAACCCAAGAATGGTG